AAAAAAAAAAAAAGCAGAATAAACTTTAAAGATAACCCGTTTTTTAATTTGTTATTTGATCTAATCCATAGCAGACACCGATAGCTGTGTCCGCTGTCCTCCGCGGTAGAAGCAACAGTGCGGTGGGACCAGACCAGGGACTGATCTGATCCTGGAGAAAAACAACATGTGACGCTGCTGCTCTAAAAACAGAATAAAACACGGAGTCATAGGGGGGCGGTGCGTCCTGCAGGGGCCGTGCCTGTCCATCACCCGGCTCCGACGCCCATTGGCTCATTAAATAATTCAAGTCAGGCAAAACCCCGCCCCCTGTTTTCCCAAACAGCTCTCTCATATAGAAACAGAAATCAGAAAGCCCCTGTTATTATGTGAAATGCTGTGTTGTGCACTGTGAAATGAAAGTGTTGTGCAAAAAAAACAAACACCCAAGGCTTGCTTTATCTGTTTAAAACCATCTGTATATCTCCGTTAAAATTATATTTTAAATGTGTCTAATATATATATTTTTATGTGCAGTGTGATTGACAGGCCGTTTGAGCCCGTTGGGATGAATGAGGATTTGAAATGTGCAACATAATGCTGGATTGTAACCATTCATTTCTCAGGCAGAAACACTGTAAACAACCCTGACGTCCCACTCGTTATATAAGAAGTGTTGTGGCCTATTTTTAAACCTGTGGGTATTCCTCTCCAACTGGAACTTTGTGTTTCCTATTTCAGTACCTCACCATTTATCCTCACATCCAGCACAGCAGTGCACTGTCCACATTTGGTAATAATTATGGTCATAATGGTTTGAAAATGTAGCTTTTGCTGTGTCAAATAAAACAAAAACACAAACAGCAGCAGGGGGGAAGCAGTTTGTGATTTGATGTATTTGCTTATGCTGCACTTTGCTGCATATTTACTAAATGTTCATGTTGAATGAAAAACAGCCACCTCACAGAGGGGGGACTGACTAAAGCAAATGCGTCAGAGGCTTCAGAGGCTTCAGAGCAACAACAAGCTGCAGGAATGCTGCCATCATCTGGCTGCTCGGGCTCACTCTGCACGTCTGCAGCCATCAGCACACACACACACACACACACAACTCTTCCCACACATGATTCTGCCTAATAAAAACCCTTTTTTTCCTGCATCACAATCAGTCACAAACAGAAAGCACCAAAGGTAAAGTATTGCTCAACAGCAAAGCACTTGGGTTGGCTGCATTAGGCTGTGAAGGGCCTGTCAGCAGGAGGAAGCTCGCAGACATCTGTTCATCAGATCATCTCGGTAATTATGTTAGTAATTCTCCGTGTGATCTTCATGATCATTAGTCATGTCCACGTGGGGCGACCCCGGCCATCAGACCCCCCCTCCCACCCCCGCCCCAAAACACACACTTGGATTGCTTTATATAATCTCCCAACAAGCAGATTACACCTCTGTCAATGAGGTGTCAGTGTGAACAAATGAATGGAAGGTATCCTCCTTAATGAGCATATCTACCCCCTTAAACAAACACATAGATACTGCAGATTAAGGGTAATCCCTGCCTTCTCTAATCACTATTGTTCTCATCATTTGGCCGCTGCCTATTTTTCTGTTTTTCCACAAGTGTTAATTTCTCGGGGGGGGGTGGGGGTTAAGCTCAGCCGCAGCATGTGTTTTCAGCATTAGCCGTCACCTATAATCTGAGATATGAGCAAAAACATAAACACCTCCACCAGGATTTAGTAACACATAGTATTTTAACCGCAAACATGAACAGCCTGGGGCAAAAACAAAGGGACAAAGAGGTTATTGTTGACATTTAACTGGCAGAGCCGTACAATAACTTGGCAACAATACAGAGGGAATAAATCCTGAATGCTGAATATTGTTGTTTTGCTGCTCTATGTTTTGCAGACAGTTCATGGGATGTGGTGTACTGACATGTTCCCACAGCGATTGTTTCAACACTAATCTAGGTGTTTTCTGACTGAATCTTTTATTTGTGCTAATGTCCAGGTGTGCCACAACCAGTCTTCTGCTTTCTTCTTTCAAACCTTTACTCCACATAACATAAGATATATTTTCCTTTCATGCAAGCAGATTTCGATGCCAGTAAAGCGAAACATCAGCATTTATTTAAGGGGTCCTCTACCTCAGTGGGATATTTTGGGATTCTTTCCACCACTGGTTAATTTTCAACTCCATGAAGCCGCCACGTTATTCTACACCGGTGCAAATAAGCCCGAGGACTCTTGTACTCTTATTCCCAGAAAATCTCTCACTTTTTGCGTTTCCATACGGTTCCCTGGAGCAGCTCCAGTTTGAGTGTCAGTTCACTGTCTGAAGGAAAGACTTCTGACAACGGAGTTACTCATGGGCCACTTACTAGCTGTTTCTGGAGCTTTCAACTACACCAACAGCCTTTCTTGTGCTAATCTTATTTATGTTACATTTTTTTATACAACATTAACATGATGGGGAAGAACATAACTTCTTTTGGACTCAACACTAGTTAAAGACACTACCTAATAGCAGTAGTCGGCCTAGATCTATTGCAGTAATAGTGGGGAGCAGTTAGCCACCAGAGTCTAATACTAAATATCTAAATCTTCAAACAAAATGTTTTCTGCTTTCCTGTTCATTCGAGCTAGTTAATAAACTAATCTATCATTTAATACATTTAAATATTTGATTCAAAGTTCGTTTAACTACATCACATTATATGAATTCCACCCGAGTCAGAGGTTAAGATGGCAGAGCGGGGTGAGGGTGAGGGTGTGGGTTTTCTTTTAGCATGAATAGTTTAGTTGGTGCTACTTGAAAAGTCATTGTTGAATTTAACTGCTGACTCTTTCACATGTGACAACTATTCTTGAATTTCCTTCGGGGTAAATAAAGTATCTATCT